TAAAGTTTGTCTATTGCAGATGACTCGCCTATTGGGTGTTGATGAAGAATTTGGGGAGGCTGCCATCCTTGGCAAGCTTGAAGGCATGAAAGAAATTATTGAAGAAGTGAACAAACAGTTTAAGGATCCGGTAAGATTCTTACCTCAAGATCATCATTCCTTTTTTTCTTTCCTTTTCTTTTGGGTTGATAACTGAGAAATCTGTTGTGAGGTAGCTAGCCCAACCCTATTTGCCCACAAGTTCGAAACATAGGGAGTATGGACCCGTCCCTCTAATCGGCTCCCGCATAAATTCGAGGTTTCATTTCAATGGTAGGATTCAAAATTGTAACGTGCGCTCCAATCCACACATCCCCTTGTTGTGAATCCTTACCATTGGATCAAATCCCCGGGAGCAATAAATTACCATTCTTATGAAGACATTTTCATGTGCTCCCTCTGTCCCAATTCATTGGCCCTCTTCCCTTTCTTTGGCTCCCAAAACAATTGGCACCTTCCTCTATTTAGAAACTTCATGATCTTTATGTTACCATTTTGCTTTCAATGCTATGCTTTTGTAGGAATTGACATGATATATGGACATACTGGAAAGGTACTTTTGGTACTGGATGTGTATTTAGCTTATGTGTCGAAAGTCTTCATTTCTTTCTTAAAATATGTGTCCAGTCAAATGCTACCAAACAAATTGGGAGGGAGGGTGTAATTGTTGCTAGGTCCAAGACTAGTGGCACAAATTAGTTTTAATGTCAGATTCATTTGCCTTTGGACCTAAGAAAACAGGTGAAGTTTAAGTTAGCAATCAACAAATTCAGGGAAAGTGGTGGCAGAATATCCTTTTGCAGGATCTCGTCTACTAGAATCTCGTGTTATAGCGGAAGATACAGCTCCTTTGCTCTTTGACCAGAGACAAATACAAGCTGTATAATTGGATTTGAACCTTTTCTGTTGGTATTACTCCGTGTTTCACTCTATTTTAGGGGTGGTTTTATAGTGTCTTTTGGGGGTGGGGATAAGTTTGCTTGGACTAGAAACAGAGTACCATGGGTGAGAAAGAAATTTGCTAAAACCAAGACTGAAGTAACGGACTCATTAAATTTTCTAAGTTGTGCATTTCTTATATCTGCTGGATGTTACTGTTTCGAATATCTGTTGCTTCTTTGAACCATCATTAAAATTGGTTGCACGGTAAAGAGTTCATGCAGCCTTATATTGTTGGTTAGATAACTATTTATCGTACTGTTTCAGTTGTACATAGTTCTCACTTCTCTAGTTATTTGTGTAGTTCTTCATTATTAAGGTCTGAACTTTGACACTTAACTGGTTCCTGTGTTTTTTAAGTTTGAAACAATGAGTTATTTTGAAGTCGGGAGCAATGCATATAGATATATTCAATACATGTGTACTGCTTCTTTTATTTTGATTGTGGAGGAATCTGCTGTTGTTTCCTGTTGATTCAAATTCTGTAGCTTTTGTGCGTGTATATGATTGCTGGAGCATATATCACCTTCCCCTTCAAAAAAGGAAAGAGAAAAAAAGGTTACAGATGTGTCTCACCAGATGCTGAATGCTAAATATTCTTTTGTTCTTTGTTCACTTAAACTTCCACTATGTAATCAAGTTCAACTGATACATTAACACCATTTTTCTTTTTTCTTTTTTAATAGGACTTGACAACATTTGTTTGTGTTTGCATTCCGGAATTCCTCTCTCTATATGAGACTGAAAGACTAGTTCAGGAACTTGCTAAATTTGAGATTGATACACACAACATTATAATTAACCAAGTGATTTTCGACGAAGAAGGTACAGTTCCCATCTTTAACTAGTCCAGATTCTTCTTTCCTTTTTTTCGTTAATTTTCTTTTGGCTTGAACATTTCATTGCATTAATATTCCCTGTGCCTTGACCCCTGCTATAGTTCCAAAACTACGACACCCTTTTATCAGTAATTTTATTCATACAACTTACATGTTCCAAGAACTCAAACTGATGTACCTAATCGAATTCAAACTTTTAAAACTACTCAATTAATATGTTAATATGTTCTTCCACTACTGTTGTTGTACTGTATGTAGTAAACTAATATTTTAAGTTCCCAATCGATCTCATAAAATAGGTCAGAAGGAGTTCTAATTTCTTCTGCTTGATGTGATAAACTAATTTGTAGGAGTTGTAATCCTTTTCAGTTGTTGAATCCAAGTTGCTGAAGGCTAGAATGCGGATGCAACAGAAGTACTTGGATCAGTTCTACATGTTATATGATGACTTTAACATTACAAAGTTACCTTTGCTGCCACAAGAGGTATGAAGATGCTCTTGCACATAGATATCTGCTTCTTCCTTTTTTTACTGATTTATATTCTCGTTGTACTGAAGGAAGAAAAAATTATTGATCATGAATCTTCTCTAGTAGCCATAACATGAAAAATACTGCAGCATACCACCAATGTGAGAACCTTTTGTAGTTTGTACCAGTCTGCTCACTGGTAAGTTGTTTTTTGATAGGTTTGTGGGGTTGAAGCCCTAAAAGGATTTTCACATCATTTTATAACACCATACAAGCCTTCTCTTGCTCGAGGCTCGGTGGAAGAGCTGGAGAACAGAGTAGCTTCATTGAAAGAACAGTTGAAAGATGCTGAAACAGAATTAGAGCAAGTTAGAAAAGGCAAACAGAAGGTATAACCAATCTCAGACAACCTGGGCGATGGAGCGTGTTGTTTCGGCTTCTTCGCTTTTGTATTTTTATTAAGGGAAGTATCATTGAATGAATACTTGTGTATTTTTCAAGAGGATTTTCATGTACGATTGTTTCATTTATTGTTTGGGAGGTTCATTTGTACCTTTGATAAGTCAATAAGTCGGGTTATTTAGGCTTACAATGTACTTGTAGAGGAAAGGGGGCCAATGGTCTCATTAAATGTAAACCATATGATAACGCCAGTATTTATGTAGTGAACCTAAAAGGCAGTGGAAGTTTCTTGGAGATGATGAGCAAATTTTTATTCCAATCGTGAACTGTGGTGAGAAGGTTTGTGTTACCTTATTTTGATTTGTTCTTTTTTTGAGAATTAGGTGTAATTGTCTTCGATCAATTACTAAATCCTTAAAAGGTAAGACAAATGTTTAATCTTATAACCGTGCAACAAGAAAACTGTTAGAGCCCGTTTGGACATAAGAAATTTTTCCCTTTTTCCAAAAAATTTTCTTTTTTTCGAAATAATGTTTGTTCATAAAATTTTCAATTTTCACTTGAGGATGCATTTTGGAAATTTTCGAAAATTTGAAAAACTCCAAAAAACTATTTTTCAAAATTTTCACTCAAATCACTCACAAAACTTCAAAAACAACCCAAAATTATATTATGTCCAAACACAACTCTAAATTTCAAATACCATTTTCAATTGAAATTTTTTTCCCCCTATTTTGGAATTTTACAATCCTTATGTCCAAACGCCAACTTAATTTCATCTACATAAACTGAGAGTTAACGTTCTTGCGGTTTATAACATAGCTTATACTAAGTTTCTAACTACCTCTCAGGCATCGATGTTGAGATGGCGGAGCTGATCTAAGGCGCCAGATTCCGAAAGGGTGGGTTCAAATACCACACTCTCAACATTCTGGTATTTTTTTAGATCTTTTTTCCCACATTTTCCTCTTCTTCTCTAGAATAATATAAAATTTAAGCTTCATATTCACCATTTTGGGGCTTTGAGTAATTTTCAGAAACCACTATTGTTTAGTGGCTATTAACTTTCTATAGCTACCATATACGTAATTACTTTTTATAGCTACTATTCAATTGTTACAGTAGTGTATTCGTTGTATTCACGTTGTTGTATTCATGAATACAGCAGCAAAAAGCGCCTAAAAATTCAGGGCAGTCCAGCTGTACGCGCATGTATTCACATGTATTCGCGTCATGTATTCATGAATACAACAGCAAAAAGCGTCTAAAATCAGGGTATACCAGTTGTACGCACATGTATTCGTGCTGCTGTATTCATGAATACAGCAGTAAAAAGCGCCTAAAATCAGGGCAGTCTAGTTGTACGCGCATGTATTCACGCCATGTATTCATGAATAAGTAACAACAATCACCTTAAAAATAGGTATGCTCAGCTGTCTAATAACGGAAATAATATCAATTAGCGTGATACACTCCTAATATAACTCAACAAAATCAATTCTAACATGCCTCATTATCAACCCAATTAATTAGAATGATTTTTCAGTTGTATATAACTTTTGTATTTAGTGTATTTCAATATTATTATTTTTACTGCTGCATTTATTAGATTCAATGTTTGTATTTACCGTATTCGCTATTTTATATATACAGTGTATTCAAATGTATTTGTATTAACAATATTTTAGTTATTTCTAATATATGTTATTACTGTTGTATTCAGTATATTTCATTGGTTGTATTCACTGTATTTTTATTTGTATTCAGTGTATTTTACTGTTTTTAAAATTAAATGTATTCAATGTTTATATTTTGTTATATTTTAATATTTGTATTCAGTGTTTCAATGTTTATATCCTGTATTCATGCATATTGTATGTACAGTATGCATGAATAAATACATGTGTATTCGGTTGTATTAAAAAATTACAGACCTTCAAAATACATAAACACAGGCAAAAAAATATATTTATACAAAAATACAATATGTTTGAGTGATTTTATACATAATACAATGTATTTGTATCATTGTATGTGACTAAATAGCAAAGAAGAGAAGAAAGTTCGTCGAGATGGTGTTTTCCGACCAAGACTCCTTGTATCGCTTCACTACCTCTTCCATTACAATTTACAACGCTTCCAATTCGACCGCTTCTTCCTTTTTTCTCTCTTACTTACCGCGCTAAGAATCACTCTTTCTCTTCAATTTCTCAGTCGCCCAAGGTATCTCCACTTCCTTTTTTTGATTATAGGTTTACTTTCATATTTCTGATTTTGAAATTTAGAGGCTTTCTTTCATGATTTGTTTCTCTTTCATGTATCTATGATTCGGCATATTTTGCTCAAAGAGAGGGAGAAGAAAGAGAGAGTGAAAGAAGAAAATTCTGAGAGAGAATCGTGTGTTAATTGAAAGAAAGAGAGAAAAAAAACATAAATAGCGTATTTCATGGCTCAATAGTAGTATATACCATAAGTATTATTTTGCTATAAAATATAAAAGGTAACTATAAAAAATAATATTTTAAAATATTTTTGGTTTATAATAAATAGGGTGTATAGCTTTGCTATAGGAGGTAAAATTTCCTTTTCTTTTCTCCTTGTGGGAAGGTAATTTAGTATTTCGTTTTACAATCATCTTCTCCACAATAAAACTATTTTGTGGCATTGAATGCAAATTTGGTATAAATATATACTTTTTGGAATCGCACAACTATATAGACATAGCCCTGATGAGAGCAGTGGATGCCACCTCTGAATTTATAACCGCCTCATTCCGAATAGATATTTCTTAGTTTTGCTAATATAAGCTCTAGGGTATATTCACTTGAATATAAGTTAATCTCCCATGTTTCTGAGGATATGTTCTTATTGGTGTTGAGCAACACTAGTAAAAAATTTATGCTTTTTTGTTATACCATTCCTATTGGTATTTCTTGAGTAAGACTAGTAAATCTTTGTATGCTCAACTAAAAATTTCTTCGTAATAATTCAAGGTAAAGCATTTGTATCATTTTCCTTCTGCCAAGGTGCCAGGACAGAAAGGAATCAGTAATCAAAATGCGCTTATATTAGCATTCAAACATTCAATACACTTCATTGTTGACTAGTACATGACATGATTAATGACCAAAGTTGTATTAGAGTCTGAATTTTTAGAAGCTCCTGATGTATAATATCAACATCAACCGCCATGCAATGTTGAGATGAAAACAACGTTA